GAAAGATTGATTATACGCCAACTGTTATATCACAATATCATAATTAATTATTGACGCATGCATTTCATACTTGTTAACATTTGCATTTGTTATAGTCAAGTGAAAGTTGATATATTTTTTACAAACAGGGTAGAAGAACTACTACGCAGCAAGGGTATTAGAGGTAGCATATTAGAAGAATGGGAAAGATCTTTAAAAATTTTGCCCAAGAGTGGAAAAAAGCATTTTGAGCCTAATAACTCTTGGCTCCAAAATGTTCAGATTGAAAAAGGACTTAAAAATCGTAGAGACTTATTAAATATTGAAAGAGTTGAACGTATCTCAGAATTAGCCAGTGCTGAATGGATACCATCCCAAAAGAAAGCCCTTGTTACTAAAAGATCTGGTCAGGAATGGAATAATTTTGGCCTGGAAAAAGATGGATCCCTATATTTATTACCAGAAGAAACATTATTTCTCGTAGAAACAGTATGTTCTCTAAAATTTAATATAATTTTTATAACTTTATGAAACTTAGTTACTTCTATAATACTTAATGTGTTAAAAATACAATTTATTTTTAATATCCTTATATATATATATACATATACATATACATTTCTTTTTTTTTATATAGAATTGTCTTGAACTCATTTGGAATGGCGTACCATGTTCAGTTCAACAAGCATATGAGATCTTAATTGATGACTCAGTATGTACTTTGGAAGAATATAGAGTTTATAGTCAATTAACACGCTATGGCTATCGTATACAACGTTTTTTTTATGAAGAACCAGAAAAATGCTATAGATCAGACGAGTTTATTAAACGGAAAATTATTGTTGATCCTGAGAGTGGACTGAGAATGTTTGACAATCAATTGCAGAATCAACAAAACACAGAAAAATTAAAAGAAACTTTGGTAAAAAATGTAATGAAAACGTCAAATAAATCATTTGTTAATGCTGACACAAAACAACAAGAAAATATTACAGAAGAACCTGTGGATCAAATAGTACAAGATGTAATGGTCCATCTTTTATCTAGCATAGAAGACCAAAAAAGTGTAAATAATTCAGTTACTTTTGAATTAATGGGAAACAATATGATACAAAGCGATATAAGTAATGAAGAAAATAATCGAAATTCTAAACCAGAAATAATTTCTGATGAAACTTTGCTAGGCAATATCAAAATTCTTAGAGATACAACATGTAACTCGAAGAAAGTTATTAAAGTATCAAAATGGCCGGGTGCTCGCATCCAACGTAACGTTAAGCAATTGCCTAAGAGGAGTGATAAAGTATTATCTCCTGAGATTTCTGTAATCGATTCTGGTTTCACAAATGAAAGTTCAAAAGTGGAAAAACGAAAGTTCACGCAAATTGATGAGTTATCACATGTGAAAAAGTCTAAGCATGAGGTAAGATATCTTTATATACATAAAATGCATTGCAAATGTTATTTACAAAATAATTTTTGTCTCAATTAGGTAATTGAATTGTCTGACGATGAGATCCAGGAGTTACCACACTGTATGACAAGAATAGAAATGTTGAATTTGTTACCAAATATTGCTTTTCAAACGGATATTACAGAGAAAATTCCCAGGCGATATATACCACATAATATAAGGCTTCAGAAGAGCATTTATCAATATAATCGGATGAAAATTTCACGCATGCAAGAGAATGATAAAAGAGCGCGACAGAATTGCAGAGATATTAGAACAAACGCGAGGCAAAATACGTCGCATTTGAGGAGTCCTGTGGCTATTAATAATAGAAACACTCCTTTCCATAATCAACATTCACGATCGCCTTTATGCGGTCCATCACGACCGTTTTATTCTATGGACCAAATACATGGGACGAACATCGGTTTGCCTTATGCGTATAGATTTCCCTTTAATTACAGTCCAGACCTTTATGTGCAGAATAGAATCACGCAGAACGTATTTCACAATTTGTTTGTCGCCTTTGGAAATAATGGAAACGCCGTTCAGCAAAGCAGAAGTCTGACTATACAAATGAATAATTTTGCAATGCCAATCGCGCACATGGAGGGCTATCGAATGAGACATTTCTTTGCGGAGAATCAATTCCGGCATGGTTTCTATCAGAATTTTCCGTGGCAGCAGAGATTTTGTCAACGAAGAATGTTAGAGAATGCGTCGATGCATAACAATACGCATCCCGTTGCGAGACGATACGATGACACTAATAGAAGTAATCAGGTTGATCATGAGATCGTTAATCGTCCTTCCTTTACGACTCGTCTAGGAGCTAGTTCATGGACGGAACTAAAAAGGAGATGGTCTGAAGAGAAAACTATTACGATCGACGATGAAGATTATAAAAATAAGAATGAAAGTGATGAAGAATGCAATGAAGTGCAAGTTGTAAAACTCATCAATCCATTAATCGGTCCGAGAAATGTATCCTCACTGGCGGAGATCTTCAGTAAACTCGCTATAATAAAACCAGCACCAGAAAGGACTGTTAGAAGGAAAAAAAACAGACACAAGATATCGTACAATGTGTACTCTTGTACACATCATTATAGAAAAGCGAATCCTGGTCAACCGTTGTACAGTTTGGTAGTGATAAGGTATCTTCTGTTAATGAGAAAAATGTATTTTTTTTTTTGATAACACACATTAGCATTCAGTAATTTTCAACAAAATTATAGGAAAGAAGACTCGTTTCTCCAACCTGTCGAGTTGAATCGCCTGCAACAGGATGCAAAAGGTTCTCAGATAATATTAGCATATGTATCAATGTCGATATCGTACATTCAACCAGGTATTATAACAATGCCAAATATAATTTGCACCTGAATATTTTCTACTGGTTGCAATTATTTTGGAGCAAATGAGGGGCAGCGTCTATCTATCTAATCAAAGATTGCTTTGTAAAATCCATAAATTTTATTTTATCATAATAAACTTTTACATACTTATAAAGGCGAGAAATATAAAAGATTTTTTTTATCCTTTACGTACTTTGAGATAAATAATTGTGCATTTCAAAGTATCTATTTAAACAAGTTTGCACAAACATATAATGCACAATATACAAAAAAAGTGATTAATCATGTAAAAGATGCCATATTGTTGTATTTTTCTTATGTTAAATGTTTGACTGATTTTGCCATGTATATATATAAAAAAAGATAAAACTATATATATTCTTCTTGTATTTAAATAATTTCATAGCAGTATTTTGGCATAATACAGATGATCGCAATAATATGCAAATATAAGATAGAGAAAAAACATTACTTGATATATTTTCTCTCTCTTTCTCTTTCAAGCCATTTGATGTCAGAGATCTACTGTCTATCTTTGTATGTGTACTGTGTTTACATACACAGTTTTGTTTTGCTTTCTTGTTGTATCTCGTATGTATGTCGCGGTATTGTGATATTTAACAAGCAGGCATTACGAATTACGGATTTAAAATGGAAGAACCAACGGAAAAGAGAATTCGTAAAACTTCTACCGGATCTGAAAATGATGGCACAAGCTATGAAAGCTATGAAAATCCAATGGATTCGAATATTTACCTAACCTATGACATTTTGAGAATTGTCTTTACATATTTAAATGGCATGGACTTAGGAAGAGCCGCGATGGTTTGCAGGTATAACAATCGTAACACGTTAATAATTTGCATTTAATTTAATCCTAAATACATGATCAGAATTCTGTATTCAAAAAAAATTAAAGAATTATATATAAGTACGAACGCAGATTCGATATATAAAAAAATCTCTAAAGCATTTTATGTCATTTATTTTAAAGGGTATACACTTAAATTCACAAATTTTATACGTAAATTTATTAGCAGTTATATTTAACATCATTTTATTACAATCTGCTAAATTGTAAATAAAAAGCACATTATATTACAAACTAATACTAATATATAGTATGAACTTCAATGTACAATTATTCTTTATAGGCTCTGGTTAGAAGCTGCAAATCATGAAAAATACACAAGAGGTCCTGATTGTTTTATAGAACATTACCTACATTTTACAGGTAAAACACGTTGTATCGAAAAATCAAATATTAAACCAGCTATAGGATTTTTTTTTATTCCTGAAAAAATACCAACTAATATAAAAGGTATTATATATACATATATATATCTTATATTCTTTTCAATAAACAAATTCATCCTAATTAATTTATTGATATTTATTATTATAATGTCTATGGATAGCATAACTATTACATAATATATTCAGTATAGAGATGAATGAAAAAATTTTATTAATAATAACAAATAAAAGAGATTCGCATTCTAAGACAGTTTGTGATAAATCACATTTCTCTATATATGTGATTTCTATATTCTTATATTTAAATAAATACATAAGCTATATTTTTTATTTATTTTTATCTAGATTATGGAATAATATTGCTGAAATTAATTTTCTATCTTTTTTTATAAGGATGGATCAGAGATACACTCCCACAGAATTGTAAGGCCATAATGTTATATACTAGTGGTATTATTATCAATAAAGAAGAGATCGAATATAAAGCATTTCCAAATATAGTATGCGCACTTTTGCCAGAAGCTCCAAATGTGAAAATCAACAGCGCAATCCTATGTACAGAATATGCTGCGCGAACATATCAGCATGAATTTTCATTATCGTTATTCGAAGAGCATAAAAAGAAACTTATTGATATGATTGATGAAACACTTATACCAAATCATGACGAGTCTACGTGTTTAATATTCTTGTGTAATGATTTGAAAGGTGCTAAAATGGCAACACTTCTGGCCTCGGCTATACAAGAATACAGGTAATTTAAATATAAATTCTCAACAATTTTATACATATATATTAGTTTGATGCAAAAGTTCGTCTCGTTTTTTGTTTTATGTTTTTAGTAGTGAAAGAACAGGGGGACGAACTTTTGCATCAACCTAATATATATAAAATAATGTATAACAGATATTGGATGACATGATATTGGATAACATAAATTTGTTTTTTATTATAGTGGAGAAGATAGAATAACTTCTTTATGGGGTGGTGTTGTAGATAACATAATTTTTAGCAGGCCTTATGAATATTGTATAGCTGTTCTAATTACTGGTTCGATACAATCATGGTCTATAGTTGTAGACAGAAGATGCAGTACAAAGGAGCAAGTTATAAAAAGGTTAAGATTATTTAAGAACCAAGTAAAATTAAAGAAACATTCCGTGGGATTTATGTTTGCATGTAAAGCTCGTGGATGTGGTATGTATGACGAGAAAAATGTGGAATCAACGATATTCAAGACATTATTTCCCGAAGTACCTTTAGTTGGTTGTTTCGGCAACGGCGAGTTTGGGAAAAATACGATGCCCATTGATGAGATGGACAAGAAAAGTGAGTAAATATGAAATGAAAAGCTTTAATATTAAATATCTAAGTAAGAAATAATGGATTAATAGAGCCTGGCGCGGTAAATGATGCGCGAATTAATTTTTATATTTGTTTCTTATCTCTTATGAACATTTCGGTCCTATTTTTGGACCATCTTCAGTAACTGTTAATATTAATCGGTTTTCTTGTTTTTTATGCATCTATTCATGACCCTTAGTAACCATACACAAAAGTGAAGAGACGAAATTGAACAGTTGCGTCCCGCAATGTTGTGATTCGCGGTGCCTTGTTTCGACGGACGAAATCTCGATTTATGCTATGTTTCCAAAAAAACATGACCAAATAAATGCTTCCTTTGTGGCTGAAACCGGAGGGAGGCTCATCATTTTTATGCATGGTTACTGAGGGTCATGAATAGATGCATAAAAAACAAGAAAACCGATTAATATTAACAGTTGCTTAAGATAGTCCAAAAATAGGACCGAAACGTACATAATAAACAAGAAACATATATAAAAATTAATTTGCGCTTCATTTATCGCGCCAGGCTCTTAATTAGCCCATTATTTCTTGCTTAAAAGTGAGCGACTTTCTAATTTCTTTCTCAATAAAAATATTGTTTCTCGAAAAAGCATATATATAGTTTTTATTTGGTTTCAGTAGAGGGCAAAAAGGACTGGTATAATCAATACTCGACCATATTTATGATACTTACGTACGGTTGATGCTTTGAAAGAAGACGCGTATGGATGTTTGTGCTACGATTATTTTTTTCATTCGCGCATTGTTAGATTTTAACTAGATCTCTGTCTTTCTTTCTCTTTCGAACTGTTCTTTTTTTCATTTATAATTATACATAAACAATGGGGCTTGCATTCATAAAGTAAAAACATACAACATGACGAATGTATAGCAATAAATCTAAATATAGAGATCATACTTTATTCTTAAATGCGTTCTACGAGTGTTTTGTACGAGTTCTAAGATGTCGTTGTCTGAAGATTAAAGAAATAAATATATTATATGTAATAATATATTATTGTTCGTATACTATGAGCACATATTTTGTATTTTGTTTGTACTACATATTTTATTTATTCCGTTTTTATTACGTTTTCTGATACGCATGCTATAAACAATTATACGCGTATTATACCGGACGGATGATCCAATGTAATCCGCCTTGATTAAAGCACGTATATCAGAAAATGCAAATGCAAATACTCCAAGATACTGAGTTGTTATTTTAACATTTGTAATATTATCGGTTAACTAGCCGGTTTTTTAACGCTAATGTAGCGTTGGTCGCGCGCGATATGTGTGCACGAGGTGTTGTGTGCAATTCAGTAATCTGCACCCTTCTGAATACAATTATAATTTCCGAGGCCGCTTGACAGTACTTCCGCGCTCGCGATACAACGGTATGAGATAAAAACTGGAGAAACTAGGCCAAGCGAAAGGGTATACTGGCGTCTTATCATGATGCTACCAGGATTTAAAAAGGAGTCTCCCCTCGCGGCATCAACGATTTAATTACCACGTCTGTCATTAGCAGTTTTAAGGTCTGAGATTCGCACGACTTGTGATCATAAACGATTTTGCTTGCTATTATACGCTGATAAAATGTTATTAAATCTGCTGTTGAGACAAATTATTGTTCTCATTATACTGTGCTATTCTTCTGCGCATTCGGAACTATGGGAAAGTGGTTTGCGCCAAAGATACGACGGCTACGGAGAGGATTGGATATTCATGCCTGATGGTAATGGACAACCCCAAGTGGCAGTGTTAAAAGTGCAAGATAGCGAAACGAGAGGCGTATTGGACGGATCGGAGATAGCTTACATAATTTATACTCGGTATCCGATTACAAATTGTATAATTCTTAACAATAAGTTCACTGCTTGCGCAGCATTATTCTGTGTATAGTTATTTATTCGATCTAGCTTCTCGTATTTTTTTTAAAGATCCAATCCGAAAGAAGGCACGCGAGTAACTCTAAATGATACCACAAATTTCGCTGATTCTAATTTTAAGCCTTCGCGAAAAACGAAATTCATAACGCACGGTTGGAAATCAAGTGCCATGAGCGTCGGGCTTTTGAAAATGAAAGAAGGTATGACTACTTATTTCTTTGATTGCTTTACAATTGTATCTCGGTGCACCCGACGAAAAGCGCATTTCTTGATAATTATCGCTTTTCGGAACAGCTTTTCTCACTCACGGCGATTATAATGTTATCCTCGTGGATTGGGAACCTTTGGCCGCGAGCACGTTTTATTTGGGACCGATGCAAAACACTGTAAGAGTCGGAACTGATGCTGCTAATTTCATAGATTTTTTAGTGAAAGAGACTGGGTTAAAGACGAAGGACGTTCACTTTATCGGTATATCGTCTTGTATAACATAATGATAATGCTTCATAATTGCATTTGCATTACTTTGTATTCGTCGTTGATCCACATAAGGCCATTCTCTCGGTGCACACGTGGCGGGAAACGCGGGCGGCGCGACGACTGTTGGGAAGTTGAGTAGAGTAACAGGCTTAGATCCAGCGTTGCCGGGATTTCACATGCTCGCTTCTGAAAAAACTCGATTGGATTCTACTGACGCGGTATTCGTTGACGTCATACATTCCTGCGGAGGTGTGTTAGGCTTTCTTCAACCTCTGGGGAAGGCAGACTTCTATCCGAACGCTGGTACGGCGGTTCAACCTGGGTGTTGCTGCGTTGCCGAAATAATGGGTAATACAAGTACTCCTTATTATTAGCTTAGATTCTTGTAACAGAAACATCGTACCTCTATTTCAGAGGCTTGCAGTCATGGAAGATCATATGAATACTTCACGGAAAGCATCAATTCAAAAACGGGCTTCTCAGCGACAAAATGCGATAACTGGGACTCATATATGAACGGTAATTGCGCCAATTCGCAAGTGGTGTTTATGGGAGAGCATGTAGATCAGACTGCCGAGGGTCTATTCTTTCTTAGAACGAGATCGGGTCCACCTTACGCGTACATTCCGAAAGTAACCGATAACAATATCTAAATAAAAACGATATCGCATATAGAAATTGTAATTCCTCAGGATGATTATATATCTCGAAGTAATTCATGTTACTCTACATTGGTTGCTGATGATAGCAAGAACAGAGCAAATATGAAATATTTGGTTTTAATAAATAATAATTACATTATTTTACACATAACTGAAATATAATAAACATAACGATAAACGAACATTTCTGAATATTGTAATATACCCTGGCCTCCAAAGGACTTGTAAAATTTCGCTTTACGCATCAATCGTGCCATACTCGGCATCTATACTACTTCATGATAGTTAAGAAACGAGCAGCACCAAAAAATACAGGAATAGCTTAATATTAAATTGGTTTATAAAGCAGGGTAGTAACATACTTTTTGCGATAACGATGCGTAGCTGATAAGACCATTACACTGTCCTTAATACTTAAAGCATAAAGATGATTTAACATAACGTGATTTGGTTCAGGTAGAAGAGTAGGCTCACACTAAAAAAAATAATAGATACAATGACAAAGAGAATGTCTTGTTAAATTTTATCCAAAATATTTCTTTTTTAATCTAACTTACGGATAATGGTGTGTCCTTGTTAAGGATAACTTGTAACAAGTGCGGCGGCAAGATAGGCGGACCAGCTACCTTTTCCCAAGGTTTATGCGGTGGTATTTCTTGCCCATATTCTGTTTGAGTGCTACTACTAACGCCTTCGCTATCTTTTGCAAGAGCTTGAAATACTTCAAAATCAGATTTCCTTACAGAGACTAAATTGTTTTTAGAGCCCATGCCATTGTCTACGATTTTCTGTATAATACCAATAGTTTTTTGCATTTTATAAGTACTGCATATAGCATAATAAACAGAGTAATTAAATTCACAAATATAATGCTCACCAGTCCAGGATCATGCCTCCATTCTCCATCAACGAAAAATTTATACTGATGCTCTCCCTCTGGCAGATCAATTATTGTGACAAAATCCCCATGGCTCTTTACCATTGGCAATGTTTTCCATCCAGTGAATGTTCCGCTAATATATACTTGCTTCCCTCCTCCTTCCCATTTGAAAACTGTCGGTAGCACCTTATTGTCTGCAACTTTTGTTCCTTCAGAGACAGTGTTAGATCTTGGTCGCTGTGCGCCAAAATCCTCTCTGTCTTGTTGGCTATTCTGTTCATATCCACATAAGATTATATAATATAGTATTTATAAATATGTGTATACATATATAT